GGAGCTAGGAAAGGATAGGTATGGATTTCTATGTTCCCATGATACCCTGGTTTTGAGACAGTCTCTGGAGGGTAAGTTGCTCTCAGTAACAAGTTTCCATTGACATTTCCTAAAAATGAAAAAACACAAAACTAAGACATCTTATGTAATATACTATTAACTGTGTAATGTAAACTTTAGCCATTAAAATAAAAGATGAAATTCCAAGGAAGTAAGTTTATATGTTAGTGCAGTCAAGACATACATGTGCAGCAATTCTAATATATGAGTCTGAACTACTTACAATGATGCATGTCACTGTAAATCAGTTACAAACCTGGGGTACTTACTATGATCTTTTCTTAAAACCCTAAAATACCTACTACATCTTAAAAGTCTCGAATGTCTCTTATGGTAATTTTTCTATTATGTCCGCATAATGGATCACAACGATTTCAGTATCATGGGATTCCTCTCACCATGCAAATATCTTGGTCCCATTAGCAGGGTAGAGCATGAAAGGTACCAGGGTAATTTGGGGTAAAATATAAATAATATACACAGAATTAATCACTGTATTTTTTAATGCAGGGGGCTGTGCCCCCTGTGACTCCCCCCATGGGAACCTGCAACCCCCCCAACCCCTGTCCAGGTAGACATGATGAGCGACTTGGAATCACTCGCTCTGTCATTTGTATACATTACTTTTTGTCTAAAAGAAGGCTGGCAGAAACTTTACCTATACCTACCCCTGTTTGTATATTATTTACATTTTACCTTCAATTTCCCAGGTAGCTTTCATGCTCTCCCCTGCTATCGGTGCCAAGACTGTGGGTGGTTTTAGAAGATTCCGCAAAATAATTTTTGTGTTTGGAAATTAGAGTGAGAGGAATCCAACGACACCAAAATTATCACGATCCGTTATGCGGACATAATAGAGAAAATTACCTCTTATGATTCAGTTTAGTATTATATTATGGCCTAAGCTCTACATTCTCTCCCGTTATTCAAATGGTTCACATTACGAAGCATTATTTATGTTCGACTTGAAGATAAAATTATTCAGACCAGTACATTAACTCAAGATATCCAACCTGATTTTCGCAGCATGGTCGTGAAAGTCTAACAGACGATGAAAAAGGTAGAGAACATACACCTGAAAACATAAAATACTGTAGCCGCGAGACCATGTTTGTTTACATTTACAGCTGGATGGTAAAGGTACATTTAAGATACATTGCCGCGAATTATCCCTGAAAATATATACATTTCAGTTTTATCTGCTCTTTCATTAAATATAAGTGATATTTAAAGTAATATAAGAGAAAACCCAAGATAAAATTATTGATCGTACATAAGACATTTAGAGAGAATTTCTTGTAAATATGTGAAACTCATGTGTGATCAACAGTGCTGCACCAATCATGCACCGTATGGATAACACACATATTTAATACTTTGTCGTATGAGAACATAACACTTCCCACATACTTTATCTAATAAGTTTGTCTCCCAAGATGCTTCTACTAATTTGATTCGCTGAATAGTAAAAATTATTATTTTTTTTATCAATATTCGGCCGGTTTGTTAAAATTGTGCCCGGCCGGCCTAATTGACATTTGTTACACGGACATGCACATATACAGAAATAAATGTATATCTATCAGTCTAGACATGCATATCTACCGTGCAGATAGAAAAAAATAAATCTATATTAATTTGATAGATCGATAGATATACATTCATTTCTGTGTATATGGATGTCTGTTTATACGAATATTCTTTGGGTTGGGCCTGGCACAATTTTAACAAACCGGCCGATTATCATTAGAGTCTTTTGACTGCTATCACAGTTATTATGAATGTATTTATTGGCATCATCATTTCTTTGAATTATCAATTGCAAACTATATTACAACAAGGATAGTGAAACACCGGTAGATTATGGATAATTATAATCTATCATATTACTAATAATACTATCAATGTCATCATCATCATCTTTATCATTGGTATAGTATAATTTTCACAATTATTGCTATAAAACATATAATGATGAAAATAATGATAATAGCAATAACCATAATGATAATAATAATAAAATGATAATAATAATAATTATAATATTAAGGATAATAGTAAAAACAGTAGTGATAATAACAATAATGATATTAATGATGATAATAACAATAATAATGATAACAATAATAATGATAATAACAATAATAATAATAATAATGATAATAATAATAATAATAATGATAATTATCATAATGATAATAATGATAATAATAACAATGATAATAATAATAATAATAATGATAATAGTAATAATGAAAATCAATATTATTCTTATCATAATTTTATGATTATTTCTATATTTTCATTACTCATATTTTGGTTATCATCATTATTATTATACTATTGCTACTATTATCATTGCTATTATTATCATTATCATTGCTATTATCATCATTGTTATTATTATTATCACTGTTATTATTATTATCATTGTTAATAT